GCTGAAGTAGTGAGATCTTTCTAGGGCAGTAGTTCTTGCCCATGTCATGACATGTGTCCCCATCGCTAGACTGTGTTTTCAGTGGCCAGGAGATTCTCGTCCCTTGCGGAGTCCACTCCCAGGAGGGCCTGACCATATAGACACCAGTGACTTTCTACACAGCTAAATTCTTGGAATAGCCATGAAAGTTCCCTTGCCAATGATCTGTTTGTTGACTGGCCTTTTACGCAGACCACAGGTGGGCAAATGCATGAGGACCAGGGGCCAATTTGCCCTTCCAGACCCCCATGTGGTCTACACACCCCATAGCAAGCCCAAATGTTTCAATGTTCCTCCATAGTCCCTGTCAAAATGGTGACAAATGGCTTCAGGGACCACAAAAGTAGGAGCAAGGGGCCACATGTGACCCAGAAGCTGGACTATGCCCACTCTCAACATAGAATATGACACTCAATTTGGGTTCTTCATAATCGTGGTTTCTCTTTTTACAGCAATGAAGCAGATTTATTGCTCTTGGAGTTGCAGAAATACAATGTTGGGGTCCTGATACAGACATTTTCTGGGATCAGGCTCTGACATGGAAAAAATGTTCAGCTTCTCAAGACTACTGACCCCTCCTTTGTTGTTTCCTCCCCAGAACTTGGAACATTATTCAGAAACCTTTAATGTGTTATCAGTCATTCTGAGAATCCTCCAACACATTAGTGTTATTTGTTACGTGTTGCTTTATGTGCAGGATAAATGCATTGTTTACTCATAAAGTATCAATAAAGTCATTGGGTAAACTAATAGTCTGGGAATGCATTGTTTTTGATCTTGGTAGAAAACATTCTGCAAGTAATGAGTGAATGTGACTTGTGATGCCCTGAAACATACTTTTTTAGTGTGACTGTTAAGAACAGTTCCCAAAATGAATGTCATTATTCATGGCTACCCAAAAGGTAATATGTTATAGACAATGTGCAACTTCCAACTTTCAAGCTCTGGAAGCAATGTTTCTTCTCTGAGCATGCCACTCTACTCATCCCCATTACCTGTAGTTCCTGCGCTACCTCTAAACAAAACTGATTTCCTCCAACAGCATAAAAATATAACATGCCCATTGGGCATTTTGCTGCCAAGCATACACATTGGCATTTGTCTGTTATTTTATGCTCTGTGTATAACGCAGTTTTAAGTTCCAAGTATGAAAACGCTTGCTATTGTACTTTGATAAGAACCATGATTCTACAACAAACATAAACAGAGGATATTTCTATAGGTATTTGTGGTTTTTTTTGGGCTGTGAGGCCGTGTTCTAGAAGAATGTATCCCTGACGTTTCGCCTGCATCTGTGGCTGGCATCTTCAGAGAATGGTGGCATGGAGGTGTGTGGGATATATATACTGTGTGACCCTTGGTTGAGAGGATTAGCATGTAAATCTGTGTATTGTAGAGGATATTTCTGCTCTGTAGTCAA